AGGGTCTAATTAGGGTTTAGGTTTTAGGGTTTAGGGTAGGGATAATGGAAAAGAAAATGGCAACTGCTGTATTGTATATTTGGGGGTATATAGGGGATTAAGTAAAAAGGGTTCAAAGTTTAGGGTTTAGGGTTTATTCAGCCGCAATAAGGATGACAACCATTGCGCAGTGCCATCCCTATGAGGAGCCGCATCAAGGTGGGTTGGTCTGTGGGATATGTTAGGAGGACCCCCCACCCTGTAATAGTGACTATAAAGGATAATGGTAACTATACTAGGGTCCTTTTATATTCCTATTATACCACTATTACAGGGTGGGGGGTCCTCCTAAGGGACATGTAAATATTTCTCACTGCGGATCTCTCAAGCACCCTATGCAAGGATATAACAGATTCCCCAAAAGGCGACAAGTCCAACCAAGTTTAGCGGTTTTGGGGTTCTTGGTGTTTAGGGGTGGTGTTCCGATAGGCTTTGTTTCAGGGAGTCATGGGGATTCGGCAGAGATTCTAGAGCGAACCTGTGCCCGTTTTCGGCCGGGCTTTAGGGGAGTCACGCGGAGGCAGGGATATTTAGGGTTTACGGCCTCAAGAGCGTGCATAGGGATGCATAGGTTTTAGGGTTTGAATAGGGCTTGTTTAGGGTTTAGGGTTTAGGGTTTTGGTTTTTATTTGGGGTCTTAGGCTAAGCTCTATATAGGGTTCATGTTGTGATACATGTGAGCTTAGCCTCCGTTAGCCGTAGTCCCACGAGTGTGCTTACTGCAGAGTGGTGGTTCTTTTTGGGGACGACTTCCATCTTTAGGATCCATTTCTGTGTATGTAGGGAATATCATGTTTTGGATAACCATACAGGCTAAACTCTGCAATTTTCAGAGAACGAGCTTTACAAAGCTGTGCTGACATCTTTGCCTTACCACTTCTCGAACAATCCTTGCGAGCACCTCCACGCATCGCTTTGTTTTTTTGGGTCTCGTGCATCTACCGTGCCATGCAAGGGAGATGTATGTAGCCCGAGAATATTGAATCCTGAGCCTTTTTATTGGCCATGATCATGGCACATGGGAATGATAGCGACCTCGCCTAACCTCAAGCTTCATTTCAGGTTTTGGATTGGTATGGTGCGTCATGTGAATCCCTACCCCTCAGTAACAAGCCCCGCCCAGAAATCAAGGCTCCGTGCGGAAATCCACAAGTTCTGGAAGACTACTCTAAAAAGATCAAGACTAGTAACAATAAGGAAAAATCATGAGGAACTGGGTTGCTGAGATCCTGGGAATATCCAATTAGGCTGAAAGGGATTTTAGTAGGAGTCAAAGTGTTCTGAGGCTACCGTGGACGGCGGAGGTATTCCCCTAACAAGAAATGTTCTTCATTGAGGGGCGGCCCGTCTATCACCAAGGGGGAACGGATCTCATTTTTGTTGTATATTGGGCCCCCCCGCCCCCGGCCAGTAGGTAATTAGTCCGCGTAGTACACCATCGCAGCATATTGGGCATGTTTATTATAAGGGGGTGGGGGAGTGTCATACTACAATAGCGGCCTTAGTAGCTACCAATCTGGTGGATCTAGATACAACCGAGGTACTATAAGGGACCTCAAATAGACCTCAGCATGATATTGGTAAGCATTTAGGCTTTAACCCTCAACCCTTAACCGACCACCAGGAAGGGGGATTAGTTGGGTCATTCCCCCTCCCAGTAACTGTCCTTAAAGCGGCCTTATTAAGGGGGTTCTTATAACTCCTATAACCCATTGTGGTAACAGTCACTGTAAGGGGGAATGACCCCTGGGATTAGGCATTGCTGAAACTAAGGAAGCGGGCCTGCGCGGCAAGATCCATGGCCTACCGTGCCTAGGAATCAGAAGATTTGAGGAGCGCTTTAGGTTTAGGGTTTTGGGGTTTTAGGGTGTAAGATGGTTTAAGATGGTGTAAGGGTTTAGGGTTTAGGGTTTGGAAGTGGTATCCTTGAATTCCATTCATAGAGCTACATAGGAATACTTGTGGATTAGACAGGGGCTGCACAGGGATGTATCAGGATATAATGGGATATGGAGAATTAGATGGAAAAGAACATCCAAGATGTAGTGGAAGTACCGGGCAGGGATTCTTAAGTATGTGTGGATTTCCTTGAATACAGTATCATATAACCCTAAACCCTAAAACATAAACCCTACACCTAGACGGGTCCCTGTTACCTATGTAAATTTCTCCCCTTCAGGAACAGTAGTTCAGGCCAAGCCCCAGAAAGGTGGAGCAGCGCGGCCAGCAAAAATCAGAGATAAACAGCGAAACAACTGCATAGTCTTCTAGTGAAACAGTTAGTTTTTTGTTAGCAGCAGGAGTAGTAGTAGTAGTAGTAGAAGAAGTATAGAAGTAGAAGTAGCAATAGCAGCAGTAGCAGCAGTAGCAGCCGTAGCAGCAGCAGGAGCAGCAGGAGCAGCAGGAGCAGTAGGAGGAGGAGGAGGAGGAGCAAGAGCAATAACAATAATATAAATTATGGAATCACTAACAACAGATAAGGGGCTCATACCACCCAACTAAGACTGGGAAGATTGCCAACTGCCTGGTCAGTTGACTATGACAGTCCGCTTTTTGGTGCGTAGCTTCTGTTTTTTACCTCTCCTTGCCTAAAGAACAGAACCCATGCATCCACATACACACAAAACACGGACCCATTGATTCACATTGGCGATTGTTCGGCCAACGTCCTTTTTAACATCCTTTCGCTCAAATAGCAGCAAGCATGCCAGCGCAAGCACCTGGAACAAGGACGCATGATTTTGAGAACCCCGGAATTTCCTCAACCTGACGGCCCAAAGCTTGGTCCCAGACCCTGAACCCTAAACCAAAAGCCTTGCTTGGAGCTTCAGGGGTAGTTAGGAGTGCGGTTCTCAACTCCGTAAATTTCAAGCCGAACCATAACAAGCGAGCGTAGAGCTACTCACGACCCTCCAAGTCAGCCCTCAACAGTGCAATGCAAACGCCTCAGTAATTACCAACATGCGTGTTGCGTGCACAGTTGAAGTCCACGTAACCGGGGCCCAGTTTTCATACCATCGTGCATTTTGTGTTTCAATTGAGTCTTGTCAATTCTGATTGTTATCCCCTAGACTACATATCTAACCCCATGGGTTCCTACGCCCGCTTCAAAGGGACCCCCATAACCATTATGTATCTTACTTTGCTACTCCTACAGGCACTTACCCACTGGGCCGACGTGAAGCTGGAGGCTGGACCGACGTGCAGTTCAGGAACGAGATATGGTAGTTTCCCAAAATTAGGGTACCCCAATATAGACCCCAATATACTATAGTCCTTATTATATGGGCCCCCCAAAAAAAGTACCCCTAATTTGGGAAAACCCCCATATAGGGAAGCCCCAAGTCATACAACCCCCTTTTCCACCCCCACGCGGATTACGGATATTTAGGGATAGAGTACAAGGCGTAGTTAACTGTTAGGGGGTACAACCTACGGGGGGTAGTAGTAGTGGGAGGAAACCCGACGTTATAGCCAGGTAAAATCGCACAAACTTTTACAGTTTCTGAACAGCTCTCTCTTTTAAGATAGCACAAGTGTTTCATGATGGCCCTGCCTAGCTTGAGAGTTGTGATTCAGGGTTTGCAGACCGCCAACATTCCTCTACTTCAGCATCTGCTGCACCATAAACTACCCTCCCAGCAGGTATGAAAGGCCACGTCGCCTCTGAGGAGGGCCAGGATGTGCTGCGAAGGCTCGTGGAGGCCTGGCTCGAAGGTTTGGGGTGTAGAGATGTATATAGAGGGATATCGTGGGTTGTCGGGATTCATTGTTTATGTATAATTTCCCCAACAATGGAGAATCAGATGGAAAAGAAAATTTGGAGAATGAAATGGACAGTAGGATTCGGTTTAGTGGCATTAGGGTTTCTCCAAATTAAGGGTACCATAGTGGGGGGGTCCCTATAATAAGGATTATCGTAGTTTTTGGCGTCTATATTGGGGTACCCTAATTTGGGGAAACTACCATGTCAAGGGAAATACTGGGTTGTCCAGAACATGGTCCACGTTTTCCTGCCTAGTAAAATTTGTTCTCGGGCGGTGGGAGGGCTTAGGATGCGAAATGAGAGGTTAGGGAGCCATGCTTTTAGGTCAGTATGCGGCAGAAAGGATGGTCAACCACCCTCTAAATAAGAGTTTAGGGTTTAGATAGGGTTGAGAGCGAAAAATGCAGGGATCTAAGGTTCCTGCCTCAGGTGTGTAGGAAGAAAAGAGAGAGCATCGCAGGAAGAATAACGAGATCCCCCATCAGGAGCAGCATCTGGTTCCATGAACATGCAAGCAAGAGCAGATCTGTTACACCACAAACCCTTTGCTGCTGGATTCTCCTCTATTGTCTTTATCAACTAATGTAATAGCCTGCAGAGTTGTTCCTTGTATGTTTAATTGACACAAACCGGACGTTGCTCCGGCTTTGGCCCTTACATTCGATCATCAGCAGCTGCATTGTGTCTATTTGTTCGGTCCAATGCCTGGACTAAACCCTAAGCCCCAAACGCTAGGCTCCAAAAGTGCGCCCAGAACGGAACATGACCAAGCTTTTCGCTTGTCAGCATGTACTGGATCGCCAGAGTGATCTCTAAGCAAACTCCACAATCCCAAATAATGATCCATTCCAAGCCTTCCTTCCTAACAGCATCAGGTAACACGCCGAAGCCCTCAACCGCAATCCCCGAAACTCAAAGACCCCAAGCCCGAAGCCCCCAATTTCCTAAGCTTCAAACCCCACTTCTACAGTCCATACACCCTAATCCTGCAGATCCGACACCCTGATACCCAAACACAGGGCCGAAGGTGCCAAAGAAAAAATAAAACCCTGGAAGCCCCTAAGGCCGAAACGCGTCCTTTGTGCCCGGGGTTGCTAAAGGGTTAGGGAACCTACTTATCAAGGGCTATGAGGGCTTGTGATAGGGGTTGCTGCGGGAATAAGTCGGACAAATACATTACCTAGCCTTCAGTCAGGCTGGTCGCGAGGGGCGCGCTGCTGTCGTCACGGCACAGACGGCTCCTTCGAAAGGTTCGGCGCGCTGGGAGGTGAGCACGCCACAGGGAGCTACTGAGTCTAGGGTTTTAGGGTTGTGTAAACCCGGGTTCCATAGGGATAATGGGGAAGAAAGTCGAAACTACGATTTAGGGTTTTGGAGGTTAGGGGCTTGGGGCTCATAGAGATAGAGGGCTTGAGGCTACGAGCTTTGGACTTAGGAGTTGCTTTGGAGTTTGAGGGTGTAGGGTAAGAGGTTTTGGGCACACAGGGTTAGGGCTTCTGGCTTCTGGGTTGGGTTACAGGTTGACAAGACTCCTTAATTAGCACCTCTTTACATCTGGATATATGCCCAAAATGTGCATGCGAGACTCCAAAGGATTCCATGCCCTTTCCTGGGTGTTAGTCCTCGATAACTCCAGCATTCTTGGGACTTCCTGCGCAGCATGCCATAAGTTCTGGCTGAAACAAGCATCGCTTAGGGATGTTATCTCGCCACTGGTCCAGAAATTGATTTCAGGCTTCTTGCAAGTTTCCATCCAGGTGACAGGCCGGATTTCCCAGACAAGCAGGTCCCGACATTCCCGAGGATCGATGCAAATTGCGCCCAGACTCCTTGACCCTGCAGGTGCTTCAGGTCAATCAGGAAAGGTAATGCTATAGTTTCAAGAGACAGTTGTAACATTCCCTCATGGTTGGAACGTCTTCTCTTGCATTAAGAGCATACGGTGCCCAGAAAAGCTGTTCTGATGGTGTTGGCCCCTGTAGTGTAGCATTTTGGTGAAGTGACAAATTGTGGAGAATCCCCAAGTTCCACAGGCCCTACAGGACCTGCAGCGTGTGCGGCGTTCCTGAACCAATTTGGTAGTTTCCGAAAATTAGGGGTACCATTTTGAGGGTCCCTATATTAAGTTTTTAGCGCAAAAGTTTCTACATTGGGGTCCCTCTATTTTGGGAAACTGCCATTTCAATCCTCAACCTATTTTTCCGCATCAGTCAAAGACACAACCTTCTCCTGCGCATTCAGGTGGCCAACGCCCTCACAGCAATGAAGAGTGTCCCGGACTGCATCGAAGATGATCTTTGCCCTTGCGGAAGGCATAGCTCAGCTTCAATGCCAAGCCCAAACCTGAAACGCTAACCATAGCCCTGCAGAAGACATTGAGCAACCTTGGATCTAGATTCCCTATGTTCACCAAGCGGGCTCCTACCCTGGGTCCGACTCAGGATCATAGCAGTGCAGAATTCGCATGAGATATGTAGCTATGAGACATATCCAGGTGAATATGGGCAAGGGGCAGGGCCCCTACTTAGGATGTACATACGCTCCAGGCTCTTTGGTTTACGCGTGTTCATGGACATACTTTCGGTATCTCGCCATGCTGATTGTGCATAGTTGGGGGTCCAAAATCCGGGCTTATGTGCTATTTGCGAAGGAAAGTTCACCCAAACAGGCTTACCATCACAATCTCTGGGGTTCTCATTGGGGGCATGGGGGATGTCTTGGGGTGCCTTTTCAGCATTGCATGGCGATCCTGCTATGTAATTCTCAGGTGTTCGAGTGCTTCACATCCTTCCGGGCAGCCAGCTCTCTGAGCATATCCGTGAGCCAGATGCCACAAAGGACTCAGAGCCCAAATCCTAAGCCCCTGAACCCTAAAACCCCTAAACCCTAAACCCTCAGAGTACTCAGAGCCCAAACCCATGGACCGAAGAGCCGTAGCCTGCCAGCTTGTTTGGGTTGAAGATCTCTTCCCCCTGGCAGCAACTTCCCTCACATGAGTCATAGTGAAAACTCCTTCAAGGAGTATATAGGGGGGTTATATAGGGGATAATATTGGGGAGTACTATAGTGGATGTTAAGGGGGATATTAGGAGCTTAGACGTTAGCTCACACAGTACTGTTTAGAACTCCTGGGCAGTATGTATTAAGGGGGAGAGTTAGGGGGAGGTGATGGGGTGTTTGGTGGATTTCCTTTAAGAAGTACGGTAGGGGTGCAGGCTTGGGTTTGGGGGTTTATGGTATGCTTTTTGGCAAACCTCCTTACAGTCGTCGCTGTCGCGTTTTCCCTCTGTTGATTGCAGGGGTTTTGCTACTGTTATTCTTATTATTACTGCTTTGATGGTGTATGTTATCATTATCATCATTAGTATCACTACTACCCTTCCTATTAGTATTGTTATTACTGTTACAATTATTACAATTCTCGTTTTGGCCGAGGATTTTTCGGTAAGTCGGACGCCTCGGCTGGGTTTGTGGAGCCCTAGTCTCCTCAAAGCTTAAGCCCCTTGGACCCTCAGACCTTCAAACTTTAAGCAGCTAAATTCCTAAATGCTAAAACACTGCGACCCAAAAACCCTATACTCTAAACACGTACACACTATACCTAACCCCAAACCTTAAACCCTAAACCCTTCAAAAGACAACCTGAAAGCTCCAGACTCGCAGGAGCACCCCTCTGTTTCCAAGAATCAGGGAGCCGATGCCAAGGCTATGGGTTTAGGGTGTGGGGCTTAGGGTCTGAGGTTTGGGGTTCAGGGTTTTGGGTTTGGGGTTTAGGGTGTGGGGTTTAGGGTTTGGGCTTTGGGCTTTGGGGCTTGGGGTTTAGGATTTAGGGTTTAGGGTTCAGGTTCGCTTGGGGATTTCCAAAATAGGGCGGGATCTTTTTCTTGGAGTCCTGGTAATAAAGGTACATTATGTTTATTTTGTGGCCTCAGATACATTCGAGGGCCCAGCTAGCGAAAGACTAGGTGCTAAAGAACATGTGCTCCATTCTTGAATATTCTAGGTGCCCCAAGTCCCGATATTTGGATACTTGGGCCCCCCCCTACCCCTATAGTCCTCCTTAAATAGATGGAATATGGTTTTGGGTATATTACAATAAGATCCCCATGTACTCTATATTCTATCTACAAGCACTGCTTCCCGCCTGATAGCTATGGGATCTAGGTAGGTAAAATCTAAGTTATAACCCGGTAGTATCTCTTGACCTCATATTCCGCGGTTTTATAAACAGGGGGTCCCAGTATAGACCCTGATACGTTGTAACTTATACTTCTCATAGGGGCCCCCAACATGCTGTTTTAAGGGTCCGTGTTGACACATAGCAGAAGTAAGTGATAGAGCCTTGAAGGTACTGATAGTGGCAGTAAGAACAGTAGTAGTCGTCAAGTAGTGAGACATCTACGCTGACACGGGTCGACCTTTGAAAGGATACTGGGATGGATGCATACTCAGGTCAGGGGTAGCAGGGCGATGTGGGATATGTGAGATTGCACACTTCAGAATCCCAGATTTGCATTCCATAACTGCTCCTTAGCGCCCTGGCGTTTAAGCAATGCGATGTAGAAAGGATTGGATGCTTTTTCATCCCTGTAATCCTGTATCCGCTGTATGTAACCCTTGTGTTACCCTATATGATCCCCATTGAGCGCCTTCAAAGGGGGCTTGCCCAGCTTGATGAGGCTTGGGAGGGGATGGATACGGCTTTGGGCTATTTGTAAAAGGACATGCCACAGGCCAAAGCAGTCAAAGCCTGTGAGGCCCCTGCTGTTCCGGCTACGGTTACCACAGATGCATCTGCGCCTTCCATGGCAAGAAGCGCTGTTCAGGCGTGTGCCTAAGTGACACTTTGACATCAGGGCCCACGGGTATTTCACGCAAGGTTTGCAGGTGCGCCGATCTGGGTACGTAACATCGACTTCTTTGGATGCCTTGGAGTTGCTCAACATTTGTTGTATGTTCCCTGGTATGGATTTCATCGCGCTATGATGCCATATTTTCAGAAGCTCAAACAGGCTCACACACGGTACTTTCTCAAAATGATCTCTATATACGCTCTAAGATGGACCCCCCCTAATTGCTGTGTGTGTAATGCCTATATATGCACAGCGTCCAAAACGCCTTCCCAACTTTGAGAGAAACTCCTGTTTTGAGAAGCTCCAACATGTCCGTTAGCTTCGACTTGGCACAGCCTAAGGCCACTTCCTGCAGCCAAAATGATGCCAAAGCAGAAGAGACAGCTCCTTGACTTATGGGAGTCTCTCAGAAAGAGGGGCTTAGAGGGACTCTAAGGATATGTATAGGGACTGTCTGGGGATTAAGGGGGGGGTCTTCATTAGAGATGGGATAACTTGATAATCTCCATTAAGAATGCGACCTATAGTCTAGTAACAGCCTTAAGTAAATACCGCTTTGGACCATCAACTCTGCACCATCCTGCATGCAAGGTCATTATCCCGAATTGCTACTTTCTCGGAAGCACTTTAGGAGACATGCTGTCTCTTCATGTGTTCCTTCCCAGGGATCACAGCGCCTCCCCACCCCACCCAGTTAAAACTTAGAACAATAGCAAACCCAAATGTCCACTACTGATACAGAGTCTCAAAATGTGCAGTGGGAACAAGTGAATGATAGGCATGTGTGCCTTGCAGGGGTGCGAGATGGGAGAGTGCTAGGCGGCGATGGCATTGGGCCGGGTGTTTTTCTGTAAGTCTTTGAGGTTGTCGTTCTAATGAAGAAGCTCTCATTTGGGAAATCCTTCAGGCAGACAAGTGTACGTGAGAGCTGAGTAGATTTCAGAGTTGTGCTTGGGTTCCCTGAGCGCATTGCAGCATGGCTGCTGAAGTCTTTCTAGCAGGTTGTCATCATGCAACCGAAAGGGCCGAGAATCTCCGAGATCCTGAACCCCAGATGGCAATCAATGTCGAAAGGACTGATGACAGCAGCCCAACTTGCCAACCAGTTGAGAACAACACTTGACAATCCGACCGCAGAGCAGGTAGTGGGAAGAAAGCCCCTCCATGCCCAAAGTTCTGATCCCTGACTCTAAATCCTAAAAGCCCAAAACTCTACACCCTAAAGCCCCAAAACCCTAAACCTGAAGCTTAGGAGGCCACCCACCACCAGGCCCCAACACCTGCTGCTCCGCGAAAGAACCGCTGGGGCCGAAAAGCTGGGTGAAATTGTGGCAGGACCGCTTCGTGACCTGCGGGTTGGTAAATAGGGACCATATCAGCATAAGGGTCTGCTGTCCAGGATGGAAACAGGAAGTAGAAACAGCTGTATCAGTGGGGATCCTATAGCGACCACTGTAGGGTTTAGGGTTTAGGGTTTAGGGTGTTCCCTACTGCTACCTACCTGAACCTGCCAAGCAAAATGCTTCCAGCTATATACCCTTGATGTTTGAGGGCTGAGGAGGTCCAGGTAAGTACATGGCTCCTTACCCTGAACAGTTTAGGGCCAGACCCTCAACCAGGGTTTAGGGTGTATAGGCCCCCTTTTAAGTAGATAGAATACGGCTTTGGGTATGTTATGATAAGATCCCCATATACCCCATATTTTATCTACTTAAGGAGGACTAGGGTTCAGAGGCATGATTTGTAATTAGGTTCATATGCACGGCGTGATCTAGACTGATCACAGCTGATGGTGCTGTGTACTCCTGGCCATTTCGCACACTTCACAGCTCGCTAGACAATAAGGGGGATGTAGGGTTTAGGATTGAGGGTTTAGGGTTGAGATGTTCATCCCACAAACGATACTTAAGGGCTTCATCGCTGTCATATGACCCATTCTTTGTCCTTGCTACGGGGCTGGGGCTCCCAAAATCCTACTACTTGCGCCATGCAACAAAGATCCTCAACAGGAGCTGGCAGAAGGAATTGAATCTGGCAGTGCAGCGCAGTGCAGCCTTTTTCAGTGATCTCCACTCCACAAGGGCTCCTTTCCAGAGGATGCCTCGCGATGATAAAGCTGAGTGGCCGGGCTGGAATTATCAAGCTTCCTGAGGCGGCACATGCCCCAAGGGACAGGCCCTCTGTCGACCATCACGGTGCCTGAATGATACCCGGGCCCTGGCGTGTCTGATGCCTCCTTGCGATGAAGAGGTTCCGGCTGAAGAAATGCCAAGCGTTAGCAGGCCCGGGTGAGTGGCAACTTCTCGATGAACGCGAAGATGCCATTCAGGAAGTTTCCGAAAATTGATGCATCCTTTTTGGGGGGGTGGGGATACATAAGGCATCCGTACGTTTTTGGAAACTCCCATCTCTGTTGTACATAACTGCGAGGGCGGCTGCTCCCAATCGCAGAAGTATCCTTACAGCAGGACTCCTCCAAACAGGGTTCCTGACTTGGACAGTTGATGGCAGAGAAGAAAGTGTGGAAAAAACCGCTGCGCTCTCAACTGGGAGCTTCTCAAAATTCCATAGAGGGTCCTGAACGCAGAACCCACAGTCCCCCTCATAATCCTTAAGTACCGCTGGGGTCCAAGAGGAAGAGACTATCGGTGCCATGTCCCAATTCCATGATCGTGCACCATTCCCGATATCATTGCCTTATAAATCACCACGTTTTTCAAGTAACATTACATTCATTCACTCTCTCTCTCTCTCTCTCAGTCTGTCTGTCTGTCTGTCTGTCTGTCTGTCTGTCTGTCTCTGACGGTATTCAAATGACTCAGGCCCATAAAGTAAATCCACGACCCTGTCCAGTCGCAAGAGCTGCCAGCCACAATAGGCTTCTGCGAAAACCTCAGCTGCCTTAGCTCCCTTCATTTAGAAGCCAGAGCCTGAACTCTAAATCCTCAAGTCAAAACTCAAATTAACCCTAAACCCTACACCCTTTCCCTTAGCCCTAAACCTCGGTTGAAGATGGTGGTGGTCCGTTTGTAGCCTCTAATGCAATACGACCCGTGGCAATTCAGGTACTCCAAGAAGGACGGTAGTTTTGTCACCCCCCCACCCTATCCAAAATCTTCATCCCTGAGCCCTGAAACTTAAACCTTGTAAACCTTCAGCCCTCTTGAAACACATGACCTAAAGTCTAAACTCCTTAGGGTTATATAGGGAATATATAGGGGACTACTATATTCAGGAGGATACTAGGAGTTTAGACTATGGCTCACATGAATCCACAGAACCCTCGGCGGCCTTAGGTCGAAGCTGGCGAGGCAGCCAGCAAATGGCGAGGGTTTGGAGAGCTTCAAGGCCCGCTTAAAGATGGTCATGGAAAAGAAAATGGAAACTGTTATAGTTTAGGGTTCAGGGTTTAGGGTTCAGGGTTTAGGGTTTAGGGTTTAGGGTTCAGGGTTTAGGGTTTAGGGTTTAGGGTTCAGAGTTTAGGGTTTAGGGTTTAGGGGTAACGAACAAGAAAATGCAAACTACTGTAATATGTTGGGGTTGTAGAAAGATAATGGAAAAGAAGATGGAAACTACAATAGTTTAGGGTTTAGGACCTCCTATGTAATTCTTTTCGAGCAGTATTTTCTAAATCCATTACCAAAAACCTGTAACAAACCCCAAAAAATGATATGGATTCATCGGCTTAGGGTCTAGGATGTAGTAGTGGGTTTTCGGTCAAGGTTTAGTGGGGTTGGGGTTTGAGGCCTAGCGTTGTGCAATAGAGGCTTCTCAAAACGGGAGGCCCAAGAGGACCCTTGGGACATGAAGAGGTTACAAGGGGATTGTGGGGGTCCCTTCTACGGATTCCGTTCTAATAGTAGGAATAAGACTGACTGATATGACTGTACACGAAGAGTAATAGCAAAAGAAAAGTCAGAGTCAGGTTTATAGGAAAAGCAAGCTGCAGTACTTTGGGTCTTAGGGCGTAGGGTGCTTAAACGAAGCAAGGAACATGGGTTATAGGGGCTACCACGAGGGAGTATGCAGCAGGGATGACATGGCTCATGCCCTACTCAGTACAGGTAGTCTCTCGAAACAACCTGAACATGGTCCTTGCTGAAAGGGTTTGGGGATTGAGCTGTGGGGTTAAATGTAGGGATATGTAGGGATATGTAGGGTTTAGGGTCTAGGGTTTAGAAATCTTATGGTGTTTCCTAGGGTCCCCTTTGAAAATGGGGTTAGGCCAGGGTGTATAGGCGATGACCTCAGGTAGCCGTGTGAATCAAGGTGATGCAGCTTTGTCGTAGGCTTGCCTCGTACGCGGACTCTGCCCGCATGGCTACCCTATTCTCTCAGACATCCCTTCCCCTTCTCGCATTGGCAGGTTTTGTGCAAAGCGTATGCACGTGCGACACAGTCGCAGCTGCAGCATGCTCCCAGTGCTATCGGCATGGAGGATGGCCTGCAGGGGCAGGGTTTATGGGTTTCAGGGTTAACTAAACTGTGGGTTTTCATAGAGTGTTCAGCGATCAATGGCTCGGGGGTGGTTGTAGGTCTTGGCGACGTTGGGTGCCGATGCCCAAATCCCAACCGTCCTGAAGATACCGAACTGATGTTCGCGGCTTTGACCTAGGGAGAGGTAACGTAAAAGCCTGAAAATTCACCCGCGTGTTCCCTTTATAAAATCCTTAGACACAGTTGTGCTGCGATGTACTGCATGACCGTATTCTTGTCACTTAGGGCCCAACAATCTCCAGTTTCCTGTACCCTGTGGGCTCCAGTTACAAGAGCCTACTTACCAGGGTTGAATATTTGGGCTCGCAACTTCATTACGAGCAAAAGCCTCCAGGTTCTAGTGTTTTGCAATAACACCATACACCCCCATAGACCCGCAAGCAGAGCATGGTCCTGACTAGAAGGACTCCCAAGAGGGAGCTTGAGTATTTTCCTAAACCCCAAGC